CCCAGCCAGCATGGCTGGCTGGGGAATTCTGGGAGTTGAAGTCCTCACACCTGAAAGTTCCCAAGGTTGAGGAACACTGCACTGATCTCTGCTAGATCCAGCCATGTTAACATGTACCCTAACAAATTAGGGGAGATATTTGCAGAGTCTTACACTGGGTCTCCTACTCACCAGTAGAAGATAGTAACACGTGTCTGTGCAAAGTTGGCAAGCCACCTTTACAGAAACTAAAATAGGTGGAGAAGGTTTACGTAATGCTGAAATAGTTGAAACACGGACATAATCCAGACAGGGAGATCCATGCTAAAGCTGAGTACATTCAAGTTTTGGGGGCGTTGCTACCCCACATGAGATTCTGATGCTTTGCTTTTCCTTTAAAGATGGGAATCCGATTTCTACGGATGTGATTGTGTTAGGACGGACCAATCTTGTGATCCTTTCTGTTCAGCTTCATCACATAGGAGTTTACGTGTGCCGCGCCAACAAACCTCAAACCAGAGAATTTGTAACAGCTGCAGCTGAGCTCCAAGTCCTTGGTGAGAACACCGAATATAACATTTCTGGGCAGCCACAAAGTTGCCCATGTTATTTTTGTATGTCTTCAGAAAGATGACAGGATGGTTGCAAACAGTCTTGCAGAGTAGGTTGTTCTTCTGCTGACTTCAGTTCCCAGTTGCTAGACCTTTGAGGAAGGAGTGAAGAGAAGTGGCTTTAGATTGTCTCTTCCTTCTGGGGCCAGAGGAAAGACCCTGCTGTCTTATCAGCACTGGGCTGGGGAATGGCAGTCAAGAACTTGGCTTTATGCATTTCTGTTAAGCCCTAATTTTAACTGGGATTTGCTGAAGCGTACTTGGTTCATGTAGGTTTTAAATCATAAGCCATGGTTTAATGTACAATAGCTGGTTTCAGTCCTCATGCTCAACTAGGAATTAGCAAGTGGTCCTTTGGGGTGCCAAGGCGCTTTTGATACCCCCCAGATTGTGTTCAGGGAATTTCCCAAATAATTTTGCAGGATTTGGAATGAGTTTTTTTTAAATAAATTATTGTAGGAGATTTCATGGAACCTTACTAAATTCTGCAAAGTTCAACATTCATACGTGGGATTTAGGGCAAAAGAACACTGAAAATCATGTGAAATTTCGAAGTCTTCTGGCACTTCCACCCCTTT